AAGCCATCGAGACCCAAGAAACTCAGGGCGCCCTGGAGGCAAACAGGGTGTTTCTTAGCATGGGTAACCACTGTACGCATATCTCGGTGGCAACTAATGGAAGCCTCCCATACGCCATCTTCTCGGCTCCTGCGAATCGACGCTGATCGACGCTGGCCGACGCTGGTCGACGCTAATTCGGCGCGAATCGACGCCAGCAGACGCTAAATCGGCGCTATCTCACGACTCCCAGACGCTAACCGACGCCAGACGACGCTGGAGACAAACTTAAGAGGACATACGAAGCTCCCATGATTTGCCATCGAAGCATGCCGCGGGTTCGTGTCGCGTCGATCCTGGCGCTGTTCTCTGACGCCGCGAGGATCTCTCAGCCTTGAACGAACAGCCGTTTCCGAAGTGTCGCGGACAAAAACGATGTTACGCATGCCGCGGGTTCGTGTGTGAGCGTTTTCTTCTTCGGCGTTTCGACACTGGGCGGAAGGGGGAGGGGGTCTGGCTCAGGACCTCTGCTGCATGCGACTGCTTACAACAATGCGTCCATTACGGTGGATACTCCACCTGCCTGAAACGGGCGCCAGAAACAGCCAAAATCTACTCCATGGGGGAGGGGTGCGAGGGCCCGCGCCGATCGGCAGAACAATTAATAAGAAGACGACGACGTTCGTGCCGCGCCGACACTGGCATTGTCTTCTGACACCGCGGGGATCTTTCGGCCTCGAACGAGCGGTCGTCTCCGAAGCGTCGGCTCGTGCAGCGTCGGCCGACTCTGCGCCGCTGGCAGCGGGAAGCGCTGAACGCTGGCGGCGGGGTCGCCGCCAGTCAACACGACGCGAACCTACCGCGACATAGAACTCAAGTGTGCTTGCGCTTGCGGACAGGCAAACAACAACAAGATAACTGATATAAAGATCTGAGATATAGATCTGATATCTGATATGGACAAACAAAAACAAGCAAAACAGACAACAACAAAAGACGATGTCCTCACGAGCGAGGAGCACACTGTCCACATCCATAGCCTCGCGGCCTGGACGCCGGGGCACCATCCCATGGACACGCGATATCCCCTGGATATGCGCTCCGCGCAGGGCACCCGAGCAGAGCCCCCCCCCCGCGCCCACGAGGTCGCGGCCGAGCGGCCCAGGCCGCGAGGCCTCGGACACTGAGACACCTCCCACCCACGAGCCCCCCTCCACCTCCTCCTCCTCCTCCTCCCCCTCCTCCTCCTCCTCCTCCTCCTCCTCCACCGCTTCTCCTCCTCCTCCTCCTCCTCCTCCTCCTCCTCCTCCTCCTCCTCCCTCCTCCTCCTCCTACCTCCTCCTCTCCTCCTCCTCCTCCTCCTCCTCCTCCTACTACTACTACTCCTACTACTCCTATCCTTATTCCTTATTAGAATATACTCCTACTCCCCCCTCAGGCCGGCCATTAGGGGCCGCATCCGGGTGGTCCCATCCTAACCTGTAAAAAACAATACAAAATCAACATTTTTCTTATTTTTTCCTCTCGACATGGACGTCCTGTCGTCCACGGCGATAATCCATTGCAAAAAATACCACAAAGAGCACACGCGCGCGTTCATGTCAGAATCCTACCGAACACCGTGTGTTTGCAAGCATTTCAACATAAAAACATCAAAAACCCAATGCTTTTTCACAAAAATTGTACAAATTTCCCGCCCGGGCTCTCTTGCTGAAATCATAGGAAAACCATAGGAATCTTAAGAATTCGGTCAAATCCAGCGATTTCACGTCATCGCGCGGTGCACTCGCGATGCTCTGTCATGCACCCAGGCCGCGAATCCTGTGCAAAAAATACCACAAAGAGCACACTCGCGCGTTCATGTCAGAATCCTACCGAACACCGTGTGTTTGCAAGCATTTCAACATAAAAACATCAAAAACCCAATGCTTTTTCACAAAAATGCTTTGGGGTGTCCTGTCAGACCGTCGGGCTTCCTCCGGCCACCTCTGGCTTCCTGCGGTGTACCGGGCCATTCTCGACTCGTCTGGCAATGCGTGCGCGGCATTCAACACGCGCTCGCCAGTTCCCGTCGGCAACCGCCATCGCGGCCGCATCAGCTGTACCAAACCGGCTGGCCGGTGTGACTTCGGCCCCCAGTTGTGCCAGCTTTGCTTCTTATGTTGTGGGAGGGCGGGTGGGACTGGGCATGCCATGCTTGACTCGCTCGAGCTGGCTAGCTTGACTCCTACTCCTACTCCTACTCCTCCTACGAAGGGCCACACTTTCGCGCACCTGGGGGCCACCCCGCACCGACCTGGCTCGAGTGCCGCGGGCGAAAGGGAGGCACGGGCTCCGAGCGTGATGCTTCGCAGCTCTCTGCTGTCTGGTCACAGCGGGCGACGCGGCCTCTGCCGTGTCCCCCTGCGGGAAGGGGCTTGGACGAGTCAAGAGACGCGTGGCGCCAGCGTGCAACGTAGGTGACGAGAGCGAAACAGAGGACGGAGGAGAAGTAGGGGGAGCGGGAGGGCAGGAGGCGTGGGGATCAGACCTTTCAAACTGGCCCACGTGGTGTAAGTCGCACGCTCTGGAGTATATCCTTTGTGTGCGTGCGTGCTGTGCACTGTGTCCTGTGCAGTGTGCCATGTGGTAAGGTCCCGCTTGTTGTGGTGTGGTGTGTGGTGTGCATGTGGCGCGCGCGTGCGCGTGACTGTGCGCGTGCGTGTGTGCCTCCCTTTTGGTTATCCATTTTGGGTGCGGAGTGCGTCTATGCACTCACGTTGCCCTGTCTGTCTCGCGCTGTCTCTCTCTCTCTCTCTCTCTCGTTCTCTCTCACTCTCTCACTCTCTCACTCTCTCTCTCTCTCTCTCGCTCTCTCTCGCTTCCTTACTTGGTCTGCGTGTCTGCGTACACACTGCCTGTTTCCATGCCAACGTGCATGTGCCCGCTGCAAGCCTTTGCCTTCTGCTCGACGTCGTTTGCCCCTTGCGATGGATCTTACGGCTTCGACTTGAACACATTCGACATCAGCTCGTTTGCAATGTACGTTTCACGTTAGCGCATCACGTTTGCGTACCACGCGCTCGCGACTCACAGCAAGGGATGGGGGAAAGAAAACGTGTGTGCGGAGGTGCGTACACGTGCATAATTCTACGACAGCTGGCTGCTGCTCTTGTTCTACCCGTTCGACTTCGCTCCTAATTCACAAGATCGTTGCAGGCAGCGCCGTACCGCCTGGATGCCATCGCAAGGGCCCATGGGTGTACATGCGCATGGTGATGCAGTTGTCATCACGCTGTGGATTCGTGCGTACGCTTGCTTGGCCACGGGCAGACTTGAAAAAGCTACAAGCCAGAGCCACAAGGGTGTGTACTGACAGCCTTCTAAAACTTTCGCAAGCGCCAACAAAAAATGTAAGCGAACAGAAAGTCCGGTGACATCGCGCGTCCGTGGCTCGCACGTGTGAGGGACGGTGCGCGTGATGCATAAACTCAGGGCAGACAGGGCAGGATGAGGAAACTGAACGTCGATAGGGGTCGGGGTTTGACTGCAGTCAGCCTCTGCGTGTGCTTGTCCTCAGGTTCGCAAGGTGAGGGATAAGCGTCTAGTTTGTCCGACTCCCCAGAGGAGCGAGGACGGTATCGCTTTCAAAAAAGCACCCCTTTGACGGCTGAGACAGCGGCACTTGGTTGCAAGGAAGGGGGAAGGAAGGGGGAGAGGAGGTGGGTAGAGGGCCGAGAAACTCGGGACAGCGGAGCATGGGAAACCAAAAAACAGGTTATCAGGTCGAGTGAAATCCGATGAAGAACACTGATGGAGATGAGTTCACGGCGAACTGCGGGCGGCCCCTGGGAGAACACTGCCGACGGGGCCATTCAAACAATCGAACGAAGGTTTCACACTCGTCCAAGCATCCCTCCGAACCAAAAACGACTCCGCGCGGAGAAAACAAATACGTGCGGATCTGTCCGCTGCGGCGGCCCGGTTAGGAGGCACGCTCCTGATCATCGCCGTCGTCGTGCAGGGATAGGGCACCGCCAGCACGACACTGGCAGCAGCAGGGGAAAGAGCAGCACAGACAGCAGGTGTCGGAGTTCCGCGCGGAACTCGTGGATCGGCGCTGGACCTCCTCACTGGCGCACAGGGGCGCACAGCAGCGGCGCCCAGGGCGCCGCCGTCGGGCCGTGGGGCTCCGGCGCAGAACCAGGAAACCCGCCCAGACCTCCGAGATCTGCAGCTTTTCTCGTTCCTCGGCGTGGGGCGCAAATGCAAAAAAAAAAAAGGATTGCAAACAAAAAAAAAAAAAATGCAATCCTTCGAGTGGGGCGCAGCTGCCAGAGAACAGCCCGGTAGGCAGGCAGGAGCGGGCCTCTGACCTTTGGGGCGGGCGCACAGGGGGGGGGGTAGCACAGGGGTGATCAAGAGGAGGAGGAGGAGGAGGAGGAGGAGGAGGAGGAGGAGGAGGAGGAGGAGGAGGAGGAGGAGGTGATATCTAGGGAACCACCTGCACACAACAGCTTGTCCCAAGGCAAGCGCTCGGCGGCGGGGCCGAAAGCAGGTGCAGGCATCGGTTTCGCAGCCGTCGTGGCGGCAAAAAAACGCTGAGTCCGCGCGCGCGCGGTCCTGCTCCCGGCCACTCCTCCCTCTCCCCCCGCCTTTCCTCCCTCACGGCCGCCCTCGGCGACGCATCGTCGACTCCAGGCCGATGCCCCCCCTCCTCGTGTCCGTCCCTGTTCCCCCCTTCGGGCCCCTTCGGGATGGGTGCGCTGCGTCCGTCACCCCGCCCCGCGGTCCGGACTGGACCCCTTCGTCTTAGATCGGGCATGTCCTCCAACAGGCGGAGCTTGGAAGAACACATGAAACAAAAACAATAAGAGTACCCCAAATACTCTGCAAGAGTCGAAATACCGTCCCCTGACGATTTTTTGTCTACTTCTGAATTTTCCTCCTGTGGAGGGACACGCCCGGCTTGACCTTCGCCTGGCCCGACAAGAGCCCGCCCCGTCGCCCGGCCCTGCCGACCCGCGCGGGCCCGCCGTCTCCTGAAAGAGCACGCGTCCATGGCGTTCAGGAACGTCGTGTTGGCCAGGGCTTGCAGGGTGGCGGCCGCCTCTCGAAGACGGAGAGCAGGAGGAGGAGGAGGAGGAGGAGGAGGAGGAGGAGGAGGAGGAGGAGGGGGAGGAAGAGGAGAGGAGGAGGAGGAGGAGGAGGAGGAGGAGGAGGAGGAGGAGGAGGGGGAGGAAGAGGAGGAGGAGGAGGAGGAGGAGGAGGAGGAGGAGGAGGAGGGGGAGGAGGAGGGGGAGGAAGAGGAGGAGGAGGAGGAGGAGGAGGAGGAGGAGGAGGAGGGGGAGGAGGGGAAACGACTGTGTAGGGGATGGGCTGGCAGCGCGCAATAACCATGAGACTGCGGCGATAAAGAAGCCTTGGATAAGGAATCCAGGCTCTGGAATCCGGTGCAACTCCAATTGTGGAGCGGCTGCGGATATCAACGCCGCCCTCATCTGATGAGGGCTCCTCCACGGTCTGAAGCCTCCTGGGCACATGCCTTGACGAACGCCCCCACCGCATGGCATTGCATCTTCCTCGCACAAGATATTTTCGTCCGAACTCGGGCCACGCGGCCCTCGCTGACCGATCCGCCTCGAGACGTGCCTCAGAAAGATGGAGTCCAGGACTCCAGTGTTTTTCTAGTGATGCTGCCATTTTTCTGCGACGTCAGACCTCTGGAGATGGGGGGGCACAAGGGGTGCAGCCTTCTAAGGAGGCGGGGGCCACCTCCCTCGATGGTCCTCAGAACGTGTATTAACGCCAACCTGTGCTTGTGCATCGGAACCCTTCGATGCGGCGCGGGCGGTGTGGTGATCTGTCTGTGGAGTTAGACGGGGTAAGCACTCACTGGACTAACACACGACCTGCTCATCATCGACTCTCATAATGCAGGGGGCTTCTTGGAAGTGGCCCGAAGGCTTCTAAGGAGGCGTCCTGAAGCTGGGAGGTCCTCTAGGAAGCCCCTGTTCCGCGCGTGGACCCAAAGCGCCGGAGACACAAGCGAAGCGCCAGCGCACCCGGCCTCACGAAGGCCAAGTGTTGGAAAACCACGCGGACACGTGTACTGTCCAGATCTCGCCCAGGCCGACCACGTCACGTGTGCCCAGTTTCCTGGCAAGCTTTGGCCCGGCTGCCAAGATCGAGGACCGCGCCTGTGCGAGGAGGCGCTGGGGCCCGAGCCCCACGCCCCGCTGGGGAGGCTTCACCGCAAGATGGCCAGAGACTCGAAGGCGATCTTCGCGCCTGGCCGATCGTATGGCCGACTTCGGAAATCCTGGACACGCAGGGTTGACCTGTCCTTGGAGGGGGCAACGTTTGCCTCTGCCGGCTGTGGCCAACCTTCCACCGGTTTCCGCGGGCGCATCCGCCCTCTCGCTACTTCCGCCGCCTTTCGCTTGCCGTCGCCGAGGGAATCCAGAAAGCACTTCATCACCCTAAGCATCACCATAATCGCAATCATAATCATAAGCAGTCACCCTCAAAAACAACATCATAATTGTCATGATGATCATCGCCATCGTCATCATCGTCATCATCCTGATCACCATCACAAACAACAACAACATCATACTCATCATGATCAACAACATCATCATCAGCAGCATCGACGACGACATCATCATCATCATCATCATCATCATCATCATCATCATCATCATCAGCAGCAGCAGCAGCAGCATCATCAGCATCATCATCATAATCACCATCGTCGCCATCGTCGTCGCCGTCATCATCATCCTCATCATCGCCATCGGCATACTCAACATCTGTTCCATCATGATCATCATCATCATCATCATCATCATCATCATCATCATCATCATCATCATCATCATCATCATCATCATCATAGTCACCATCGTTGTCATCATTACCACCGTCGTCAACACCGTCGTGGCCACTATCGTCGCCCTCGTCAAATTTCTGCGCGCTTGTTTTCCCATCCTCACATGCACGATGGTTATCACCATCGCCATCGCCATTGTCGTCATCATCATACTCATCATCCTCATCATCATCGTCATCATCATTATCATCGTTGTCATCGTCATCATCAGCATCATCACCACCATCACCAGCGTCATCATTGCCACCGTCATCATGATCACCACCAGCGTATTCAACACAACCATCGACGTCGTCGACATCGTGACATCGTCGCACCGTCGTCATGAACATCCTCATCGTTATCGTCATTGTGGTTGTCGACGCCCAGTTGAGATGTGCCCAAATTTCCGAGCGGGCTGGTGGGATGTTTGCACGGATGCGGTCAAAACGCATTGCACATTGCACTGCACAGATTGCATCCCGCAGAGGTTGCACCACACAACTTGCACAACATAGCCTGCACGAGCAGAGGCTGCGCCGCACGGGTGGCACTGCATATCTTGCACTGTACAGATAGGTTGCCTCCGACACATTGCGCCAGGCAGAGCGCACGTCGAGTGCAAGAAGCTTATGTCTGGGGTTCACTCTGGCAGACACGTGCGTACGTGTTCGTGCGTGCGTGTTCCACCCGCCGGTCTATCGGAATTCTGCACGGCGGCTGCTGCAGCTCGTAAGCATCCACCCTCCGAGCCACCGGCCTTGTCCATGTTGGCACTGTCTGTGAGGCTTCCCACTATGTCGTCCATCTTGGCGCGGATCTCTGGTGTTTTCACCAGGTCCTCGCCGACACACATCATAACACGCGCGCCCAACGACAATGGCGAACCAGGAGAGCTGAGCACGAATGTAAGCATGTCATGCGGAAATCGCCATAACGACTGCGGGCACACGTGCCGCGTCAAAGCGCAAAGATACACCGCATTAAATCGCTGGATGGGCAGAATAGCAACGACCAGGCAGGTCAGATCCGTGGGGACGTCGAGGCGCCAGCGGGGACAGGGCGAGAGGCTCGCACTCATGCCATATGGCTCCCAGCGGCTCTGCCGAAGGCACCCCCCCTCATACCAGAAGCGTGACGCACGCCTCTGCACGTGCAGCGAAGCGCTGGGCGGGGATGGGGAGCGAGGGCGCCGCGCTCCTGGCGCCCGCTGCCCGGCGGCGCGCCAAAGGGAGGCGGGGCGCGAGAGAGGCCGCGATGGGCTCCTCGGAAGGGCCCGGAGGCTTTCCAGAGGGCCCCCCCCCGCCCTGTGGAATGCGGGAGGGCTTCTGCGGAGCGGGGTGCCCTCTCGGGAGGTCCGCCCCTCTCTCGCGCTGGCCCCCCCCTCGGCGCGCCGCCGGCATCCAGGAGGGAGGGCGGGGGGCGAGGAGGACAACTCTTTTCGGTTGGGGCCCTGGCAGGGGCCGCGAAGGAGCGCAGAGCCGTGCTCTCGCCTGCCCGTTCCACCAGGAGGGCACGGGGGCCTCCCCTCCCCAGCCCTCTTCCCCCCCTGATGGCGTGTCCTGGTCGTCGTCATCCTCCGTCTGCTACTCTTCCTGCTCTGGCTGCCCCCATCCACCCCTCCCACGGCCACCTGGAGCCTCCGAGAATCACGTTTGATCTCACAAGAAACGAAAGAGGGGGACTTCGGAAGGGGCCTGGCTCGAATGACCCTGGACACATTGAGGTTGACGCCTCACTCTTACTGCTGCCGCCATCCGCCGACCTTCCGCCTGCTTCCGCCGAAGGCGAGGATGCGTCGAAGGCAAGGCCTGTCCTGGACGCCGACGAGCAGGGGTCCGAAATGGCATGGCTCGGCTGGGAGTGTCGTGCCCCCCCCCACCCCCACTTACGGATGATTATTCCGTTCCCCCCCCCCCCGCCCTGCATGCCAAGCTGATCACGTAGCCAGCAGGGGACAGAGCACATGGAGCATCGAAGGCGGGTGGTGCAGGGGGCGCGGTGCGTCACCCGAGACACCCACGAGTTGTCGTATTGGCGCGGCACCATGGGATCCCCACTTAACCCTCAGAGCATGCCTAAAACATACGGTCCTTCCTCCACATCATGCCATGACTCCTTCGCCATCCTCCCTCACCTCATTCTCCCGTAAACCATTCAAGCGTCTAAGATAATGGTGCAGCCTCTGGAATACCTCAAAAACTAAAACCCCCCAGATCTTCTCCACGTCCACCTTGACCATGATCCTCCTTATCCTACCCGCACTCATGTCATTCCCCCTACCAATCAGCAGCATCAACACCAAAACAGTGATGAACAGATTCATGTTCACGCTCATGTTCAACGTCACCAAAACCAACAGCATCAGCATCCTCAAAAGTGTCACCGCTACCGCCGGTATAGCCCTCATAATGTTCATCAGCACCACCGCGATCATCGCTGTCAGAATCACCATCATCGTCACACTCATCATCACCAGGATCATCATCATAATCACCCTACTTCCCATCATTACCATCATCATCACCGTCATCATCATCACCAGTCTTATCAGCATCCGCATCAGCATCAGCATCACAACAACCACCATCATCGTCAGCAGCATCATCATCAGCAGCACCATCAGCATCATGATCATGATCCTGAGCATCAACAGCATCACCATCATCAGCATCAAAATCATCATCAGCATCGTCATCGTCATCATCATCATCATCATCATCAGCAGCAGCAGCATCATCGTGATCACCATCAGCATCATCAGCATCAACATCATAATCATCAACGGCAACATCAGCATCGTCGTCATCATCAGCATCATCAGCATCGTCGACATCATCGACATCATCATTATCAGCATCATCATCAGCATCATCATCATCATCATCATCATCATCATCAGCAGCAGCAGCAGCATCACATATTTATCATCATCGTCATCGTCATCATCATCGTTCAGACAGCGATTGCGCTGAGCGGTTTTCTTTGATCTGTTCTGAAGAACTGGGCCTGCAGGCTGGTCTAGCGGCTCCGTGCTCGCCGCACCCCGATAGCCCCGCCCTCCTCCTCCTCCTCCTCCATCCCTTTTCCCCAAACTGTGTTTGCACTCGGGGGTTCTTACCTCTGTTCTAAGTAACAGGGCCTGCAGGCTTCTAGCAGCTCCGTGCTCGCCGCACCCCCATAGCCACGTCCTCCTCCATCCCTTTTCCCCAAACCGTGTTTGCACTCGGGGGTTCGAACCTCTGTTCTGGCGAATAGAGCCTGCAAGCTGGTCTAGCAGCTCCGTGCTCGCCGCACTCCCATAGCCCCGTCCTCCTCCTCCATCTGTTTTCCCAAACTGTGTTTGCACTCGGGGGTTCTTACCTCTGTTCAGGCGAACAGAGCCTGCAGGCTGGTCTAGCAGCCCCGTGCCCGCCGCACTCCCATAGCCCCGTCCTCCTCCTCCATTTTTTACCCGAAACAGGGTTTGCACTTAGGGGTGCGTACCTCTGTTCCAGAAAACTGGGCCTGCAAGCTGGTCTAGCGGTTCCGTGCTCGCCGTCGCCGCCCCGTCGCCGCCCATCGCCTGGGCCTGCGGGCCGGTCTAGCGGCTCCGTGCTCGCCGTCGGCTCCCCGTCGTCGCGGTCGCCCCCCTTCGCGGCCTTGCATAGATTCTCGCTTCAACAAAAAATGGGGTCTACAGCCCCCCGCTGGACTTATCGGGTCCCGGTGGGGATGTGCAATTTACATACGATTCTTCCCCATCGCCCACCATAGATATGAACTCACACCATCCCAAGCAAGCCAATATGTATTCCCTCCGCCCCCTTCATCGTCTGCAGCAAACACTGTGCGCGCACACTCGTTTATCAGAATCATCCGTTTTCAAAAAATCCCTTGCACCAAAAACGAAGTGCACACGCAGCAAGGATGTTCAAAAAAAAGCTGCGCTCGCGTTCTTGCGGGTTGTTTTTTTACTGTTGGGAGAAATGAACACCCCAAAACATGTTCAAACAATCCTTCACCATTTCCATACAATGCTACCAAAAGGGCCCCTCGCGCGCGCATGTCGGAATCGCTCGAACGCCCTTGCGCGAGTGCTGTCACACGAACCCCTTGCAAAACAAAAAAGCATGCACACGCGCGCGTCGTCGCGCACGCATGCCCAATCCTTTCAACAACCGTGGTTCCACAAAGATTTCAAAATCGATCGTTCCGTAAACATCAGATAGAAACACATGGTTTCGCAACATCAATGTTCGAAAATGCCGGCGTTCGCGTCCCTGCGGTTTTCTGAAGAAAACCATGTTATATATAAATGAAAATACAGGATTGCAGTGGCGCTTCGCGCCATGCACCTTGATCCTTGAAGTGTGGTATGCAGGCGGAATAGCAGGAAGGACAAGTCGGCAATTTAGCGATAACTCCGTGTTGCCTTTTCTGGCATCGCCGCTATAATAATGTGATTCGTTATCCTTCCTCCATGCTGATGTTTCTTCATTTTCGCCATACCCTGCGCATTCTCCCCATCCTCCCCAGCTCTTTATAGGCTCTTCCTTGGAGAGCCTCTGGGGGCCTCACAAAAGTTGTTTCAGGTTTTCTTAATGGTTTCAGGAGGCCTCCTGAATGTATTCTGGGGACCTCTGGTGGCTTCCTCGGGCCACCCTGCCTCCAACCGCGGTCTCCCTGAACGACCGGGTCACGATTTGGAATGCTTCGGAGGGCGTCTTGGGGCCATCTTAGGTCGCCATGGAGCTCTCTGAAGGCCATCTTGGACCCGCATTGTGCCGTTTTGGGGCTCTCTGCCTGGAAGCCCTTTCGGATGTTTGTGGGGCGATTCTGGAGCCTCCCAGGCGGCTTCGGCCGCCCAAAAGACCGCCGCTTTGGAGCGTCGGGGAGCCGAAAAGAGGAGAACCCTCAAATTCACCAAAAACCAACCGAAAATTAAAGATTTGTGCGTCTTGGGGCTTTCTTGGGAGTGCTCTTGGAGGCCTCTTTGGGGCCGTCCTGGAGGCCTCTTGGGCCATCTTGATTTCACGTCGGTCACTCTTGGAGCACTCTTGTGCTGTCTTTGGGATCTCTGGGACGTCTCCGATGACCCCCCTGATCGCCCCAGGTGCGCTGCGAAGGCTTGTCAAAACGCCCTGCGAGGTCCGGGGGGCCGCTTCGAGGCCCGTCCGGAAGGTTCCAGCGCCCCAGATCCCGGGAATCCGTTTTTTTTTTGGGGGGGGGACGGCTTTCCCCCCCGCCCGGGCTTATAAAAATATAGGAAGAGGAATAAACATAAATGGAAACGTCAAACGGGCCCCTCGCGCCGCACGTCGAAATCATTCGAACGCCCTTGCGCGAGTGCTGGGGGGGGGGGGGGCCGATCATTCGAACGCCCTTGCGCGAGTGCTGGGGGGGGGGGGGGCCGATCCGTGTCATATAACACCATGCGAACCACTCTCGCGCGTCGGCCCCGCGCGCATGTCGAACTCCCTCCAAAACCTTCATCACCGACGCGATGGCGCCGTCATCGTCGTCGGCGTGATCAGCATCGGCGCCGTCACTGTCCTTGCCGTCGTCGTTGTCATCATCGTCAGCAGCACTGCTACCAGCATCATCGCGTCAACCGTTGTCGACGTTGCCATGATACCGCGCCCGCCCAAGCCGCCAACTCGCACTGAAGTGCCCTCTGGGGAGGGCCCAGCGGTCAGTGCCTGGCCGCTGCGCGCGCGAGCATGTGCGGGCTTGCGCGGCCGCAGAAATGCACCAGCAAACCCCAAGTACTCATCGCAATCGCCGAAGCAGAGGTTTTGCAAACTAATTTGCGGATGGGTGGATGGGATGATTGCGCGAGCAGTGGAGTGGACAACTCACTGCAAACAGAAATTGATGTGCACCACATTGGGTACAAAACATAGATTTCACCACGTAAATTGCTGGGCCAGGCGTCTCGCCTGACACATCCGCACCACTCATGATCCTGAAGCTTGAACTCGGCAACAGTTTCACGGATGGGGAGCGGGCGGTTTTCAAAATTGTGATCTCGCCCTAGCGCCGCTCACATTCGACTTCAAAGTTTGCAAAGGCTTCAAAGATGGAGGACGGGTCGTTTTCAGAATGTGGCCCTTGCTGTAGCGCCAAGCACCCTCGTCTTAACACATTGCAGCAACTTCAAGCAAGGAGGGCGGGTCGTTTGCAAAATGTGGCTCTCGCTTCAGCGCCGCGCATATGTGTCGTCAAAGGTAAGAACAGCTTAAAGGATGAAGGGCATTTCTTGTTCAGCATGTGGCTCTCGCCTACGCATGCGTCTCGAACGCTTATAGCAGTTTCAAGGATTCACATGGTTGATGTCCCAGGAACGGTGTTCTTGCACGGTTTGGGGTTGTCAGGACGCAACGGTCACGTTGATTCGTGGCGATGATGTAAGCCCCAGGAACTGTGTTCTGGCACGATATGAGATTTGTCAGGACGCAGCAGTCACGTGGATTCGCAGTGCTGATGTCCCAGGATTTGGTTGGCTTTTGACACGGTTGAAGATTATCAAACGGTTGTCTTCCAAGGGGGATTTCCCGCAAAGAAATAAACTTGTACGGACCTATGAAGAGCGAACTTGGAGGGAGGGTTGATTGCAACATCGTTGATTCGCCATGGGTTTACACTGGTCGTCCTCCTCCTCCTCCTCCTCCTCCTCCTCCTCCTCCTCCTCCTCCTCCTCCTCCTCCTCCTCCTCCTCCCCCTCTTCCTCCTCCGTCATCATCATTATTGTAATCCTCCTGTTCTGTCCTGTTCGCAGAGCCTGGAACCCCTCCGGGTCAGCTGCCTCTCACCGCGGCCTGCACAAGTCCCTCGTCACTGCTCAGGAGGCGGGCGGTGCGTTGCCGGTCCCCCTCCCCCTCCTCACGTCGCCCCCCCGTCCCCTCATAATTCCTCCTGCCTCCCCATCCCCCTCTTCCTCCTGTTTCTCCTCCTGTTCCTCCTCCTTTTCCTCCTTCTCCTCCTCATCCACCTGCACCTCCTTCCCCACCTCCTCCTCCTCCTCCTCCTCCTCCTTCTCCTCCTCCTTCTCCTTCTCCTTCCCTCCCCCGCCGCCCCTAGAGCCGCGCCGCGCGCGCACCGCCGCCGCGCGGAAGCGCGGCTTCTCGCGCGGTCCTCGCCCATGTGCCGCAGGAAGCCCTCTGCCTCCTTCCGGACCTCCTTCCTGGCCCCGGGCGCGCGTCGGCGAGACCCCCCGACGGAAGAGCGGAGCCTGGCGCCCGTCGGCGGCACCCCGCGCGGGTCCGCGAAGCGGACCGCACTCCTTCAACCCCGACATACTCATCTGCTCCGCTCCTCCTCCTCCTCCTCCTCCTCCTCCTCCTCCTCCTCCTCCTCCTCCTCCTCCTCCTCCTCCTCCTCCTCCTCCTCCTCCTCCTCCTATTCCTATTCCTCCTCCTCCTCCTCTTCCTCCTCCTCCTCCTCCTCCTCATCCACATTCGAGCCTTCGAGCCTCCTCGTCCATCTCCTCCTGCCTCCACGTCCGTCCACCCTCCCCAGATCGCGCGCTGCCGCAGACACCCTCGATTTCGGGCCCCTAGAGGCCAGGCGCGTGAGACCGAGCCAGAGCACCCCCGGCGCTCCCTGGAGATACGGGCAGCCATAGCTATCCAGGATTTTGAGCAGTCCACCTGGCGAACGAATAATGGAGAATGTTTCGACCAACGACTGCACTTTCCTCGGGCGCGCCGGTATCCCACAGTTCCTGCTTATGGGGCTCTGCGCGAGACTCCCAGCACCAGGGCAAGCTGCGATCCAAAGCCGGGCTGAGATCTGGTCTGCTCCTCCTCCTTCGCCTCCTCCTGGTCTCCTCCTTCTCCTCCTCATCCACCTCCTCCACATGATCAACGTCATCCACTCATCAGCCTCACCGTCACTATCACAATCATCGTGATGATCCTCATCCTCCTCATCATCATCAGCACCATCATTGTCATCAACAACAACATCACCATCATCATGTTCAACATCATCAGTATCATCACCATCAGTTGCATCACAGTCACCATCACCAGCATAATCATCATCACCATCACCATCATCATCAATAACATCAGCATCAACTTCTTCATCAGCATCATCCTCGTTGCCATCATCATCACCACCGTCATCATGATTAGCATCACCATCGGCATCGTCATCATGAATACCATCGTCATCATCCTCGTTAGCAGCATCATCACCATCATCACCATCGTCATCACCGTAACCATCATAGTAAGCATCAGCATCACCATCATCGTCGCGATCATCCTCAATAACATCATCATCAACTTCTTCATCAGCATCATCCTCGTCGTCATCATCACCACCATCATCATGATCAGCATCACCATCGGCATCGTCATCATGAATACCATCGTCATCATCCTCGTTAGCATCATCATCACCATCATCACCTTCATCATCATCACTGGAGCCATCATAGTAAGCATCAGCATCACCATCATCGTCACCATCATCATCATCATCATTATCAGCATCATCATCATCATCATCATCATCATCATCACCATCAGCATCATCAGCAGCATAGTAGCATGGTCATCATCAGCATCACCATCAACATCACCACCCATCGCCACCATCATCATCATCATCATCATCAGTATCAACATCAGCATCATCATCATTAGCACCATCATCAGTACCATCATCATCATACTTACCATCGTCATCATCTTCATCATCAGCATCATCGTCATCAGCATCAGCATCATCATGATCATTATGATCATCATCGTTCTCGTTCGAATCGTCAGCATCATGATTATCATAAGCACCTTCAATATCATCCTCCTCGTCCTCCTCATGCTCGTCATCATCAGCAGCTGCATCATCATGATCATGAGCATCGTGATCAGCATCAGAATCTGCATCCTTAGCATCCTCGTCATCATAATCATCATCGCCAGCATCATCGTGGCCGTCAGCATCACAACAATCAATAGTCATCATTACCACCATCGTCATCATCATGATTACCATGATCATCATTGTTCAGCATCAGGGGCTTCACCATCGAAATCGTCGAAGTGAGCGCTATCGACATCAGCATGATCACCAGCATCATCAGTCCAACCATAATCACCACCAAACTATTATCCTGATCATGATCATCATCAGCAGCAGCAGCATCTTCATCCTAATCCTCATGATCCTCGTCATCCTCAACATCAGCACCACCACCGCCACCGCAACAATGATCATCATCAATTGCAGCATCCTCATCGTCGTCATCACCATCACCATCACCACCATCATCATCATCATGCCCATCCTCCATTGAAGGGGCAGCAGGGAGGAGGGGGAGGGAGAAGGGGGATGAGGAGGAGGAGGAGGAGGAGGAGGAGGAGGAGGATGGGGAGGAGGAGGAGGAGGGAGGAGGAAGGGGAGGAGGGGGAGGGGGAGGGGGATGAGGAGGAGGAGGAGGAGGAACATGAGGAGGAGGAGGAAGAGGGAGAGAAGGAGGCCGAGGACGACGACGACGACGGCGACATGGCGGCTCCTGGCGTCGCCGGCCGCGTCTCGGAAGGCAGCCATCACCTTCGGCATGGACCAACCGAGCTGCTTGGGGCACTCCTGGCCAGGCCATCCCTTCCCTTCCTCCCCATGCGCCCGCCACCATTTCCAAACCCCTCCTCGAGGAGGGAGGAAGGTCCTGTTCCCGCCATCTTATGACTGTCCCAATCATCATCATCATCATCATCATCATCATCATCATCATCATCATCATCATCATCATCATCATCATCATCATCATCATCATCATCATCATCATCACCATCATTACCATCATCATCATGCTCATCATCATCACCATCATCACTACAACTATCAACATCACCACCATCACTATCATCATCGTGAATCATCATCATGATCACCATCATTATGACCACCAACAGCACCATCACTACCACCACCACGATTCATCATCAGTTTCATCAGCATCATCATTATCATCATCATCATCAGCAGCATCACCAAAACCAAAGCCACCACCACCACCATCAGCTCCATCACCAACATCATCGACACCATCATCATGCTGCTGTTCCTCCTCCTCCTTGTCCTCCACCTGCTGTTCCCTCTGCTCCTCTTTTCTACCTATGTTTGCTTTCTTTCTACCGTGAGGTTCTCACAGCGTGATGTGCTTACAACGTGGCCCCAGAGGACAGGGTCGGACTGCGCAGTGGGGGCACCCAGAGGTCGGAAGCAGTACTCTTATCAATTCCACTACTATGGTTCCATTACAGCACTACCACTCCCACAACCACACCATACTTATAGCACTTCCACTTCCACAAACACGCCCACTCAACCACACCCACTTCCCCGGCACCATCACCATCACCATGACCATCAGAATCATCATCACCATCACCATCACCATCTACTACTACTACTACTACTACCACCACTACTACTACGACCACTACTAACTAGTAGCAGTACTGCTACTACGACTACAACTGCTACTACTACTACTACTACTACTACTACGACGACTACTACTACTACTACTACTACTACTACTACTACGACTACTACGACTACTACAACTACAATTACTACGACTACTGCTACTACTACTACTACTACTACTACTACTACTACTACCACAACTACTACTACCACAACTACTACTACGACTACGACTACGAC